TTGGTACCTTTCTTTAATTTTCAATTTATTACTTTTAAGAATAAACATTTTAGGGGAACCTGGGTGGCTCAGCTGGTTAAGCGTCTGACTTCGGCTCAGGTCATGATCTCATGGTTTGTGGGTTTGAGCCCCGCGTCAGGCTCTGTGTTGACAGATGGAGCCTGGAGCCTGCTTCAAATTCTGTGTCTCCCTCTCTCTCTCTGCCCCTCCCCTGCTCATGCTCTGTCTCTCTCCCTCTCAAAAATAAACATTAAAAAAAATTTAAAAAAAAGAATAAATATTTTATGCTTGTTTATAGGTTATACCCTCTTTTGGAAAACTATCAGCTTATATATATTTTTGGCCATTATTACATTACATTCTTCTGTTCTTTCTTAACCCTTTCCTTGTTCGATGTTTATCAAAACAGGTACTTTTTAAGATAAAGTATCACACTTAAAATAGAATCTTGTTTTTTTAGATTTTTTTCCTCTTTGCCAACAGTTTCAACCAAACTTCTAAGAAAGATCAATTTCATTTAAAGTGCACCTCTAGACTATCCAAGATTTAAGAATTTAATTAGAAATCCATTAAAATAATTGTATTCCCTTTTAATGTAGTCACTTAACCTGTAGTTAAATGTGACTTCTATTACTATAAAATAACTCATATGCAATCTGATATGATATTGTTTAAAATTATCTCAGAAACATTAACACTTGTAGATTAAGTACAGATGTCCTGAAATCAAACCTTGAAGTTACTGTTCACAAAAACTGGTGCACTGCTTATATTTAAAAGCCCAGGTGAAGCAAAACTGTATTACCTTTCTCATTCCTTTGTTAGCTACAGCCAAATAAACTAGAACTGGGAGAATATAATTTAGGAATTTTCTTAATATTAAGAATAATCTGGGGCGCCTGGGTGGCGCAGTCGGTTAAGCGTCCGACTTCAGCCAGGTCACGATCTCGCAGTCCGTGAGTTCGAGCCCCACGTCAGGCTCTGGGCTGATGGCTCGGAGCCTGGAGCCTGTTTCCGATTCTGTGTCTCCCTCTTTCTCTGCCCCTCCCCCGTTCATGCTCTGTCTCTCTCTGTCCCAAAAATAAATAAACGTTGAAAAAAAAAATTAAAAAAAAAAAAGAATAATCTAAAAAACTCTTTTCTCCCAGCATTTACTTCTTAGAGAATTACCTGTTGGTCTCTCTCTCTCTCTCTCTCTCTCTCTCTCTCTCTCTCTATATATATATATATGTGTGTGTGTGTGTGTGTGTGTGTGTGTATGTATGTATATATGTGTGTATATATATGTGTATATATCTAAATATATAAAGCAAATGAATACATTAAACATAAAAATAAACATTTATGTGACCATGACTGGCCTTTATCTCTAATCCAATTGGGTTTTTTTTTTGATAGTTTCAACACCATAAGACCTAGACTATTTCCCAACATGACTCCAAACTTCCATTTATTACCCCATTCCTCTTGATACTTCCCTCTCCTTTTGCTATAGCTCCAGACCCTTATCTAATAGTTCCTCATTCCCCAGAGACTTCTCATACCTCTTTCTACCCAGCCAGGGTATTCTGTTGTTCCCACTGGTCTCCAGAATCCCTTCCCCTTGATCCCATCTCATATCTCTGTGCCTGGTCTGAATGACACCTACCATCCATCAGAGCCAACTTATTCGTTAGGCATAGTACCTAGTACCCACAATAGTTTTAGAGGCCCACATAAATGTTTTAATATCTTAAACTTTTAGGTTAAGAAAGTTGTTTTTTTTTTCTTTTAGGTTAAATAAAATATTTTAATATATAATATTAATATATTCATCATTATATCAAAGCAGTCATAAAATATACTTAAAATTTTTTTAATACATGAAAGGGTCCATTAAGGCAAACACGCCTTGAGTCCATAAAAATAGTAATGTGTCCCTGAAATCGACTCACCCTGCTTTACCTCAAAAGGCACCAAGAAAGGATAGCACTACTGAAGGACCCATTCAACTCATGACTATTCTAAGCTTTTACATCACACACACACACACACACACACACACACACACACTTAGAGGCAGCCTCATGGGTATGTGACCAGGATAATGGCAAAGGGCCCTGGCTCAGAAAAGGCTCTGTGCTTAGAGTTTAGTGTTCTGTGTTCACCATATTTTTTAAAAAATGTTTATTTATTTATTTTGGGAGAGAAAGGGGGGAGGGACAGAGGGAGAGAGAGAGAATCTGGTGCTCAGTTTCACGACTGTGAGAACATGACCTGAACCAAAATCAAGAGTTGGACACTCAACTGACTGAGCCATCCAGGCACCCCTGTGTTCACCATCTTGAAATATCTAATAATTTTGTCTCAGGACTTGTGTTTTGAAAGTGAAGTCAGGTGGGACAGTGCAACATGAACCAGGAACTTGGAACCTCAGCTCACACACATCCTCCCATCTTCTAGCACCTCCCCTCCTCTATGGAATGGCTCTTCTAAGCTGCCTAGCACCTCTCCTGCCTATACCCAGTTACCACTGAAGCTCTCTGCCACCCCTACTCTTCTCTGGGGGCCTAAACATGTGTTGGGAGAAGATCAGGGTATGATGAAAGTCTCTGTGGCATCTCAGAAGGTAATAGCAGCAGCTTGCTCCACATCAGACTAGTAGTGACAAAGCCCATCTGCAAGGCAACTTTGCAGAGGTTAGCCTCCTATCCAGCACTGATCCAGTGCTAACTGAGTCTAAGCATAAAGAATCCTTGGGTTTCATCCATCCATTGTGGGTAGGGGTGTGAGCTGGTAGGAAAGAGACAGGCTTTCCTGCCAACAGCCAGAGCACTATGTCTGTGCTCAGGTATGACAAGCACATGCTGAGTTGCAAGGGGGTTGGGAGGGTGGGGACTCTTGGCACCAATGAGTATCTGCAGTTCCCTCAAGTGTCCCCATGCCCAAGGAACACAAGAGCAAATAAAAGACACCATGACAGAATGAGACAGAAACCACTGAAGAAAAATAAGTTTCAAATTTTAGCACTTATAACAACACCTTTTTCTGCTTTTTGAACAAAGGTCACACATTTTCATTTTTGCGCTAGGCCCTGGGCATTATGTAGGTCACCTTACATATACTTCTCAGGTTCCAAGAGCTGCTCGCCTTTGATCTTATTGTGAACCTTGAGCTAGTTGATGAGCATTCCTTTGTCCTCCCTCTTTATATTACAAAATACTTCCTATTTCTACCCCATTTCTCTTTTTCCTTTGGGTTCTAAAGTCAATTTCTCTACACAATACCCTCCATCTGATTCCATTTCCATCTTTCAGACTTCATAACATCAGTTATTCTCTTCAGCTCCACTTTCCCTCTCTCCCTTGCCGTTGGTTATTTTTCCTTGTATTTGTCACCCCCTCTCTCCACCATTCTGCTCCTCCTCCACTCCAAAATCCAGGGGTCTCTGTTTCATGGCCATCTCCTCCTCTGGCAGTTCAGCCTCCTCTCACAGTCCCCTCCTCTACCTTGGATTTGCTGTGCTGACTACTCTAATGATTCTCTCTCACATCCCTGAAAACTTCTTTCTAGTCCTGGGCATTTTCTATCCTCTAACTGACTGCTCACCAGATGCGAGTGACCGATGACCACTGGAGATCTTAACATATCTGATGTTTTGAGGGTAGAGACTGGAATTCTCCATGGGCATTAACCTCGCCCTTTTCCTAAAAGACATTTCTTTGGTGTACTCTTTTATTTAAGGAGAAGTCCTCCAGGAATCTCAAAATCAATGAGATGACTCAAATGCAGATACTTTAGACTGAGATGTCAAATGTTCAGTTTAGCTGTGTAAATTAGATGTGTTGTCAGAACTGTCTTTCTGCTATTCCATCAAAAAATTCTCCCTTATGTAGGAGAGTTTTGGGGACTAATGTCTGAAAGTTATTGGTTATTTGCTGGAAGTTACTGGTATAGTAGGAATTTCCAAAATTTTCAGTGTGGCCCTAATGCTTACCGGATGGAATGCAAATTCCTAACATCTGACCCCTGTCAGTTCTTCTCTAGCTACAGCCCTCCTTTCTAGATTGACATCTCACTACTTTGCTTTATGTATTTGAGGCCCTAACCATATTGTGTCACACTCAGTATTGCAGAGGCTCTTTGCTGGCTCCCTGTCTGGCTTGTTCTGATCCCTGAACTAGGAGTGAGTGATCTCTTCATTTCCCAGAGGCTGAAATTCTACCATCCTCCAGGTTCTGGCTGAAATTTCTCATCTTTCATAAATATTTCCTTGGTTCCTGCAATTGGAAATAATTTAGTTCCCTGGAAAATTACAATATATATTTTTTTCTGTCCTTCTCTCTTCTGAACATACCTTGCCTTAGAAAATGCCCAGGACTGGGAAGAAGGACTCAGGGACATGAGAGAGAATCATTAAAGTTCCAGGACAGTGAATGCAACATAGGAGTGAGGGCTGAGAGGTGAGACTGTCAATAGTATTGACATCTACTGAAAGGTCCAACGTGCTGGGAGCATGCCATGCTATTTTCTTTGGCTACTAGGCAATCCCAGGTAACCTTCAACCAGAATACTTTTGTACTCTCCATTAAAATATAAGCTCATTTAGGGTACAAAACATGGATACATTTTTATAGTTATTATTTGCATTAATCAATTATAAGGTGATTTAGCATTCATTTAATTCCTATGAAGTCAATGAAAAATATATTATTGGTCCCATTTGAGGTGTGCATAGGAACTGGAGCTGAGATATGTTAAGCAATTTGGCCACGGTCTGAGAGCAACTAAACTGCAAAGCCAGGACTCAAACCCATGGGTTCTGATGCTAAATCCAGTGTTCTTCCTCCTTCATACTATAGTCGCTTTTGTGTGGTCCAAACACATAAGACCTCTGGCACTTAGCATAATTTCTTGGGCATAGTAGATAGCAAAGAGAGACTTATTAATTAAATAAATGAATGATAACATACATAAATTTAAATAAAAGTATGCATGTAGAAACACGATAATTTGCTTACCTTAAAAGAGATCTAGGGGTGGCTGGGTGGCCCAGTCAGAATTTTGATTTTGGCTCCGGTGAGCATTAGAATCTTGATTTCGGCTCAGGTCACGATCCCAGGGCTGTGGATTGAGCCCCGCATTGGTCTCTGTGCTGAGTGTGGAGTCTGCTTGATATTCTCTCTCTCTCTCTCTCTCTCTCTCTCTCTCTCTGCCCTTCTCCTGGCTCATACTCTCTCTTTCTGTAAAAATAAAAATAAAAATAAATAAATAAATAAAAATAAAGAGATTTAATAAAGCAATTCACTTATCAAAAAGACAAATCTTCGGTAAAGATGAGTCAGTAATGCCAAGAATATAGTTGACGAATGTTAGAAACATTCTAGTAAGTGTCACAGAATAGACTTAGGTTTAAGTCATTCATTTTAGAGAGTGGATCTGATTTGAAGAAGGAGAACTCTGTTAGCACCTGACGTGACAGGGCAAGGAAAATACATTTTCAGGTTTATCATTTAAGAGTTTCTGACTGCAGGCAAATACGATATAGATGAGGTTCTCAGTGAGAATTGAACAAGAAAGAGAAATTTGTAGGGGCTGAAGTGCTTTAAGTAAAGAAAACATGCATTCTGGCCCCTATGCTCTTTCTTCCACTAGTGTTCTGAACATGATTTTGTGGATTCACAAAGGGAGCACAAATGAAAGAGATGGAAAGTACAGGCTAGTAACATTCAAAGGGAAGCAAAAGCTGTCTGGATTCAGGCTGATAACGCTGAATTTGTCGAGGGACGGATTCTCTTGAAATTCGCACTTGATGCTCAAGAGGCTGTACCAAGAATTATCAGCTATAAGAAGGCACTCTAATTTAGCTTATGAAGCAGTTATTGCTTTGGTTGAATGGACATTGATTAGAAATTGGAAGAATGTGCTGTAGTAGTAGGTCAGGTTTTTATAATGCATGCCTCAAAAATGGAAAGTTTAACCCCAAATATAAACTTTATTTGGAAGTAGACTTTAATTTAGAGTATTGCACCTATTTATGAAGAACTTGGCATTTGCTATTACATATTACATAATGTTGTAGAGGAACTTACATTCTCAAAAAAGAAAAAAGCACAGAAGAGGCTGCTCCAGAAAAAAAAGGAACATTTGGAAGAGAAGGATGTAAAAGTATTTTTAAAATATAATAGATTTATTTTACAATTAATAGCCTGGTCTTAAAGAATATCTAAATATGAATAAAATATTTAACGTATTGTAAAATTTAAGCAACAAAAAATGAAAAAAGATATCACTTTGATCCTGAAGGAAATAAATAATATAAAAACATCCACCTATTTAATAAATAAGCAAACTATAATAAATCAAATAAAGGTATCTTCAAAGAACATCTATTTACATGCTTCAAACTGGTTAAATAAAAATTGGTAAGTCAACCCTACTGGAGTACTATGCAAACTTAAAAAAAAATTGTGTTTCTTTATTTTTGAGAGACAGAGTGCAAGTGGGGGAGGGCAGAGAGAGAGGGAGACACGGAATCTGAAGCAGGCTCCAGGCTCTGAGCTGTCAGCACAGAGGCCGACATGGGGTTCGAATTCACGAACTGTGAGATCATGACCTGAGTCTAAGTGAGACAGTTAACTGACTGAGCCACCCAGGCGCCCCACAAAGTTTTTAAATAATAAGTTCTACTTAAATGTGCTGGCATAAAATTGTTTGTCATAATGGTAAGTGAGAGAGAAAGTTCCTGAATATATATGACATGATATGGATGTCTACATATAATGTATATATATGCATATACACTTATGCAAATGTTTAGGATCTATGAATGTATACACAGATTTTTTTATGCAGATGCATACATGTCTATGTTTTTGTAAATGCTTATAAGAAGACCACTCAGGGTACACACAGATCAGTGGTTAAGTCTAAAGGAAAGGGTGAGCACAAAGGGTAGGAAGAATTACTGAAGAGAGAATCTCACTTTCTCTTTATTATTTATACATATTATAACGAGAATGAATCACTTCTATATTTTTAAATTACATGTATTATGTCACCAAAACTGATAACCGAAATCAATAGCACCTGGCAGCTAATCTCTATTTATCAAATATTGAATACATTTCATATTCTATATATAATATCATAGCTACAACTATGCCTTTCCTAGGGTTTCCTTTACTTTCTTCTTTAATTTAAGATAGATTACAAGCAAGATCTACTACCTGCATTTCAAAATCTGAACGTAAGGCACAGAGCATCAATATTTGCCCCATATTTAAGATTTTCCAAGATTTTGATCCACTCAGAGGACAAATGCTCTTTTTTCAAGGTTTAATGTATTCCCAAATAACTGCTACAAACAAATGTAGCGTAAGCTACATGTAATCACTGTAAAAACAATTAAGTTTTGGTGGGAATGACTCTTTACTATTTTATTAAGGTTTTAGCCACAAATTCTATACGAAATAAGAAGGCCAGAAAATATAATTCAAAACTGGTATAATTTAAAACTGATTATTGCTCCTTCAGTTTGTCTTTTACATCTGAATTACATTTGATAGTTGGCTAGTTGAACATTCTTATCGCTATTCCATAGACAATAATTACCCTTCCTTCTATTCTGAATCTTTTATGCAAACCATATGGCACATTTAGAAATTTTGCAGGCTTTAATTAAAAGTGTCCATTCAAATTAAACAAGGTCAAAAGAGAAACTATATTAAGATCTACCAAATATTTCGGGGGGAACTCCACATAAGAACAATATAACAGATGCATTGTCAGTTACATCTATCTGCAATCTTCAAGTTGATTTTTCAAACACAAAAGTTCAGGGAACAAAGCACATCACTGGTTGGTCTTCTAAATATGCAAAGAAAGCTAAAATGTCAGGGAGGCAAAGAGGTAGGAGAAGAAAGCAGCATCTGCTCTATGATTTTGTGTGCCAGGGCTGTGAGTGTGCCTCAGCTCAAAACAGCTTGATGCAGAGTCAGTGCAAACGTCCAGCTCTGCTCATAATGCATGCGTGTGGCGGGCGCTGTGCTGTGCCGCCCGATCCCCCTCCAGGAATGAAGGACTTCGACCCCAGGTGCCAAGAGTGCTGCCAGTATAAAGCCTTCCGCTGTCACCCGTCTTTGGAAACTGTCTCTCCTAAAGATAGCCTCTTATCCAAGGATGTGTCCCCTTGTTGGGCCAGCCCGAATCCAATCACCGTGCAGAGCATAAAAGCCCAGCCCCTGGCCCCAAGTCAGCAAACTCTAAAGCGCCGTCTCAACTTCAGAACTTCCCATGAGATCCACTGGAGTTTTGTGCGACTCCATCAGAGCCCATTTTCTTTCTACACCCATTTCTGTTTCCCTCCCTTCCTTTCCACAGTTGTTGATCCTAAGGGTACCCTCTAATAAAATTCATGCACATTAATCTCCATCCGAGTCTGCTTCCTGGGAACCCATCTCCTGACGGTTTATTTAAAAATCAGGCCAGAAATCAAATTGGAAACACAGTAATTCACAAGAAAAGAATTTCAAAAAACTATGGTAAAAATGCTAATGTTGGAAATAATTCTTATTTTCATGTTTCTATAAGCATGTAACACATTTCTGGACATGTATCATGCTCCTGCGAAACATTTTATTATAATTTTTAAGGAGTTTATTGGGGGAAACTGTATTGAATTTCCTTTGTAAGGCTCTCATGAGGTGAAAGCAAAATATATTTATAATAAAGAGAGATGCAAGTGTAATAAAAAACCAGATGTCTGTTAAACGGAAAATTATCTACATTTAAAAATAAGTGTTAAGGTCATTAAGGTGGAAGCCTGCATTCAAGAATCTGGACAAAGCCCTGTAGGCATTATAACTGAAGTAAAACAGCAAAAAAGTGACAAAGTCTTAACCAAAAGATATATAAAACAATATCTAGGAAAGACTGCTTTTAATAGACATGTAAAGTAACAGTAAAACCTGTATTTTTTTAAATGTTTATTTATTTTGAGAAAGAGAGAGAGAGCAAGTGCATGGAGTGAAAGAGGGGCAGAGAGAGAGGAAGAGGGAGAATTCCAAGCAATCTCCACACTCAGCATGGAGTCGGATGTAGGATCTTGATCTCAGGACCTTGAGATCATGACCTGAGCCAAAATCAAGAGATGATTAAGTGACTGAGCCATCCAGGTGACCCAACACCTGAGCTGAGATTAAGAGTTGGACACTTAACCTACTGAGCCACCCAGGCGTCCCTGTATATTTTTTTATATGTTTTTTGGACCTAATAATAGCAGATAAATTTCTGGTTAACTGAGTCAATAAACAGATAGTTAGTAGTAGTAATGCTGTGAGAGGTTATGTGGAAGACACAAAATATTAATACTTAGCCTTCATCACCAAGATACTTAAAACACAGTTTATTAAAACTTCCCCAAGAAAAGCCTTTCATGGAAGAGGGAATCAAAAAACATAAAATGTGAATGCACGTTTAACCAAAGATGTAATTCTTTTAGCTGGATGGAAAGTCATATAAAGGAAAGATACTCTTCCTCACTTTCAACTAGTTATTAATTTACGTTTCAAAGAGAAATGAACAATATTGTTCTTTTTTATTAGAATCACCATTATTTTTATTTGCTACAAATACCTGATAATTGTTTTCTGTAAATTGCCCGTATAAAAATTTAACTATAATTGTAATCAACTCTGAACACAATACATTCAAGATTGTCTCAAAACTTTTTGAAATAATAACATTTCCGTAAGTATAAAAATTATAGAATAAGGATATTAAAATTTTATTTTTAAAATATATGATTTGAAAGTAAATTTGAACACTTGATGCTGTTTTCTTTCCTTTATTAAACATCTAATAGGGCTTAACAAATTTAATTGTTCAAAAATATATGAGCTCAGAAAAATACTTTAGATTACTTTTAAATATTCTTACATCAAAATGTATGTCTAATATTCTCATGAATATTTTCACAGAAATTTAATGCACATCTTTTCAATTTAAATCACACATTATCAAAATGTCATCCTGAAAGTAATATGCTGAATCTTTTTATTACCAATTTTTCAAAGCTTTTCTTTCAATTAGAACCAACTTCCATATTAAAAAGCTATTGTTTATTTCCTCATACCAAACTCACAACGTTCAAGACCTTAAACATAACTCTTTTTCAGTCAATATGGGGTAAAAAGGAGTAATGTAGCAACTGCTCTTAAAAAACATTTCTTTTTTTTTAAATTTTTTTTCAACGTTTTTATTTATTTGTGGGACAGAGAGAGACAGAGCATGAACGGGGGAGGGGCAGAGAGAGAGGGAGACACAGAATCGGAAACAGGCTCCAGGCTCTGAGCCATCAGCCCAGAGCCTGACGCGGGGCTCGAACCCATGGACCGCGAGATCGTGACCTGGATGAAGTCGGACGCTTAACCGACTGCGCCACCCAGGCGCCCCTTAAAAAACATTTCTAAACGTAGAAAGGAAAGCAAATTAGTTGGTAATATAGTGAATATGCTTTAGCATGTTCATTAGCATCTTATACAAACCTTTTAGAATACTTTCTTAAAAGCCCTGATAACAACCTTAAGGGATGGAGATAAGTCTTTTTATATACTCATTTCCAGAAATGTTAAGGGACAGCAGAAAGGGTTAATTTCCTTTCCTCCTCCTCTATTCCTACCTCTCCCACAAAATGAAAGATGAAGACTAAACTCTAAAGATTCTCGTTCTGATGTGGTTGGTAATACTCATTCTAAAATGTATACTGTTTTAAAACATGTCTGTAAATGAGCTCAATGAGAGAACAGAGAAGTGAAGAAGATCAAGATTACAGGTTGGTTTCCAGAATGAAGTCTAAAGGAATTACTCACGAAAAATTATTGTGAAGGAGCCATTTACTATTTTGTACCCTTAAGCAGCCTTTATACACATTTACATTTTGATAATAAAAGGAAAAATACAAATAACCTGGTACAGCCCATAAGTGAAAAGCCAAAAATTCATTTAATGCATTTGTCATTGTGCATCAGCCAGGACTAATATCGTTGTCGAAGGTGACATAGTAGAACCTTCTCTTCAAAAAGAAAAATAAAAATCAGAATTTTAAAACCTAGAGCTTTACACAATCTTCTTTATCTAAAGAAATAGGGCCTTAGTCTGTGCTTACTGAAGCTTATCTCATGCATAAACATTTAAAAATTTTTCATCATTATAAAAGTAATACACTATCATTTTGACAAGATGCATATTACTGAAAAGAATTTTTAAAAAGGAAATTAAATATCCCATAAAGCCACTATTGGGAGAGAGTATGGTAGCACTTTGGTGAATCTCTTTCTAGTCTCACATATCTGATCTGTATCTACCTTTCTATCTTTATGAATTTCTTTCCCAGACCCATATCTTTATCCATATTCTTGTGTACTTCAATATCTGCTTTATTTATTTTTCAATCTCTCTGTACATATATCTATGTATCAGGTAGTAGGTGAATCCCAAGTAACTCTCCCATTTCCTTGGACCTTCTTTCAAGGCATCATTGCAGGAAACTTTCTCCCCCATTTCTTTTTTTTTTTTCTTTTTCTCAAGAAGTAGGGGGTGATAACAAAAAGCAGAATTCTCCATCTCCTTCCAATTATCTGTACCCGAAGCTGGCACAACCCCATCACCAGCTAATTAGTTTTTCAATCCTGTTGTTGGTTCTAGTTATTTGCTACATTTTTGTTTTAATATAAAATTCAAATCATGCTGCATGTATCTATATCCTGCTTTTTTTCCCCACTGAATATTGAACTATAAATATTTTCTCATGTCATAAATATATTTTCAAAATTACTGTGTTATTTATATTTCTAATGAACTTTATTCTCTAAAGGCCAGAGCTAAATGAGGGGAACAGATCAGAAATCAGAGACATTTAGTAAAACTGAAGAAGAGGTGAATAACTATAAAAAACAGACCCAATACTTCTAAAAAGTGTTGTATTACATTGTTTTGTAAAGGTAAATGCATGTGTGTATAAATTGCGTTCCTGGAGAGGTGAAGCTAAGTCATTTTATGTACTGCTTAAGAATCCAGGGAGGGGTGTTTTACATTTGTGTTAGAGATTTATTTTATCCCACACCAGGAGAGACAATTCATGCCAGTTTTTACTTGCTTTGCTAAACCAAATATAAGGTGCACTGATCTCTATCGGGTAACAAATTCTCAGGACAGCTCCAGTCAGGAGAAATGGCCCTGTTCTTTGGTCCCCAGCAGCCACTCGTGTGCGGGGCTCTCAAGGGCTCTCCGTAGACAACATTTCCGCCACCTCTGTGCCACGCTTGGGAATGGGGTGGGTCCTTGTCGTTAAGACTGGGAGAATTTGCACATGGGAGGCCACTTTCCAGTGCTTCGCACATGTCCTTGGACATTCTGCAGTCATGGGGCACGGCGCTTGTCTCATGGGAGACCCCAATGTGTCCATCTCTACCGCAAGTCTCCAGCAACTTCTCCCTACTTCCTTTCCAGGCTGCTTCTGCCTCTTCCCCCTTTCCAATGTTGCCCTGAATTCTCTTCACACCCTAGCGTCCAATAAACTTTTCAGGTATGTAGCCTCATACAACTTGCCAGCATGGCAACCATTTCATGAAACAAGTTGGGCCCAAAACCTAGGGAAGGGAGGCCTACAGGCAGGTAGGAAAGAGATGAAATGAAGGAACGGGTGAAGCAGTCTTTGCTCGCTCTGTTGACTTTCAAAGCTATGGCAACAAGAAATGCATTACTGTCGTTACTACTGAAATGGGTTATTTTTGTTACCAATAATTTGAGTTTTGAAAAGTTACCATTTAATTAAAAAGACTCTGCACATAAACATAAAAACGCCTCTGGACGCCTTGCTTATTCCAAATGACTAACTGCCGGAGATACTGAGATTATCTTGGTATCACTGTAAAATTTTTATAAACAGAGGTACGTTAACTGATTGCTTTGCCCAAAATACATCCCAATCACTCAGGATAGAACTCAAAGACCACAAATCGTTCATTTGGCTAATATTCCTTAAGTCACTCAGCACACGACCATTTGCATGTTGCCACAGATTTAATGAAAAATTCATAAAGGACTTGATTACACTGGCAATTTTGATTATTTGGAGCCTTTCTTCACAATACTTCCAAATGCAGCCAGTTTTGTTACAAGTATTCCTAGAATAAGAATTGCTGATAAGATGTTGATAAATAAGGGAATTAGGTCAATTCAATGCATTGGTTCTGATTCTAATTTTTTCCAACATATTAGCTTTTTTGTCCCACCACATATCAGCAGCTAAATGGATGCCATACAACTGAAATACAGAAAGTGTTGCAAACTAAAACGAATGCCCACTCACTCCATATTCTTCTTCTGAACTGGCTTGGTCTTGGAGGTATATGCATTTGGTGTGCTTTGGTCCTCTTGTTCAAAAGCTTCAGGCTTTCCTTACTCTCTTTTTAGCTAGCTGTGTTCTCTTCCTTTCTGTCTCTCTTTCTCTCTCTCTCTCACACACACTTTTTAAGGTAAGGTCCTATATTTACTACAGAATTTCCTTTTTATGATTTTAATTTGTCTTTTGAAGAACAGTAGTATTTTTATTAGCATGGTTGCTTTAAATTTTTTTTTTTCAACATTTATTTATTTTTGGGACAGAGAGAGACAGAGCATGAACGGGGGAGGGGCAGAGAGAGAGGGAGACACAGAATCCGAAACAGGCTCCAGGCTCCGAGCTGTCGGCCCAGAGCCCGACGCGGGGCTCGAACTCACGGACCGCGAGATCGTGACCTGGCTGAAGTCGGACGCTTAACCGACTGCGCCACCCAGGCGCCCCTAGCATGGTTGCTTTAGATAGAGCTTTGGTTATAAAGTTGCATTTGGCTTAGGTAATGCGCCCTTCATATTTTTACAGTTTCATTATTTTTAGGGCTGTGGCGTTTTCTTAGGAATTCATGTTACAGTAGAAAGACCTGTACATTATGCTTTCTGATTCTTCTAATAAACTTATGAGGTAGGTAGGGTTTTTTACAGATGAAAAAACAGCGAGACTCGAGGAGCTTAAGTCATCCACCCATTAGCAAATGGCAGTTAATGAAGACTGGAGACTGGAGTCCTGACCTGCTGATTCCTATTCTAGGACTCTGGACACAATACCAAACTCAACATCTTTAATAACTATCTGTATAAATTATTTTATTAATTATGATCTGCTTTAAAATGTGGCTTCTCTTGTTGCTTTATATTAGTAATTCAGGCTTTGGTACTTATTTGTTTTATGTGTTCATGACTTGTCTGTCTGGCTACTCTTATTTCTCACTCCCTGAATACCTGGAATACTCTCTCCCTTCCACTTCCTATCCCCAGCCTGTCAAAATACAAAAACAATGAATCAGGTGCACTGCTCAGACCTTGAAGTCTTAAGAAGAATGCTCCAATTCACAAGTGAACACCCATCACTGCACACTGGACCTGAGGTCTCCATAGCCTGATGTTTGTTGGAAATAAATTACAGATCTTCCCACTAGAAAGAAAAGAAAGCAGACCTGGTTAAAGAGGGCTTGTGAATGATCAGATCATCTTGTTACCCTCAATATAGCTACATAAAATAAATCATTACAGATTTATTCACAGCTATGCAGTGTGCCTTTATTGAACACCTCTTAAGAATCAAGCACATTTTTAGGCATTGGGACACAAACAAATGCGACACAGCCCTCTGTTCTCTAGTACAAAGCAGAAAAGACCCTTCCACTGGGAGCCAGAGTTTAGGATCTCAGCCTTTAAGGAATGCAACTTACCTGGAGGATTTGTTAAAAAAGATTGCTGGGCTGCAAGCCCAGAGATTCTGGTCTTCACGTTGGAGGGTGGGGGGCTGAGAACTTGCATTTCTAACCACCTCCTGAATGATGCTGAGGCTGCTGGCTATGTAAGCTCAAGAAGCTTTTATTATGTATAAAAATGGAGCTTCATAATAGTGCCTGACCCATAGGATTGTCTTGAGGATTAAAGTAGCTGATAGCATAGAGCCTGGTACATAGTGAGAAGTCAATAAATGTTAGGTTCTAATGTTATTTTTATTATTTTCATTATTATTAAGGGGTTTCAGGAGGATTCTTCTAGATTCTCTCTCTCTCCTACTTCAGAATGTTGGAAATCCCTTTAACCAAAGACAAACTGATAAAAATTAAATAAAATTCTCCACGAGAGTTTACTTCCAGTAATACCAGGAATTAAATCAGCGATATCATATCCTTTCTTCATTCTGCTTTTGATAAGGTAGAGACCACTGGGGCCCTAAAAGGTGTTGATAAAGGTGAAAGAATTATGTGAAGAGAACATAGAAGCAACAACAACAAAAGAGCTTGAAGTAAAAAAGAAAACTTGGATATCCTCCTGAGGTCTGCCCTATCTCCACTTAACACACAGAATTTCCTTCCAACAAATACAGTTCCATCTACATTCTTTTTGTATCTGTAAAACCCATTATTATTATAATAGCAAAATCATTAAAGAAGAAAATGTTGGACTCTTTTTTTTTTTCCAGCTGAATTTCTGCTGTTTCAAAATTCAAGCTGTGTCCAGTTCTGTTACATGACAGGCCCCCTGAATGTTCGCTTCGCAGGACATAACACGTGTTGAAAATAAGGTTATTGAATAAGAAATACAGAAAATAATGATTGATCTCCCATAGAAAACAGCTGCTTCTTGTTAGCAGCTAAACAAATGTCCTCTCTCTGGGTTTTACAGAAGTCTTAATTCTGTATGGTAATAAAAAAAAATGTCAATGAAAGCATATACAGTCTAAAAGGAATATAGCAAATGCTTTTAATCAAGACAATATCTTGGAAATTTCAAGTACATAAAAATCCTGAAACAACAATCAATACCTATAAAGAGTGATGTTTGCCCTAGGTCGCTGAAAAAAAATGAGACATTTTTTACGAATGGGCTCTTCAGTATACATAGGATGATATAGGAAAAAAAATCAAAATTCAAAATGACTTTACCAGTAGGTACCACCAGCAAATGAATATAGTATCATGTGATAAGTTATTCTTTGGTTTGGTTTCTTGCTAAAAACGTGATGCCCTCTAGGGATCCTGGGTGGCTCAGTCAGTTAAGTGGCTAACTCTTGGTTTTGGCTTAGGTCATGATCTCACAGGTTCATGAGTTCAAGACCCACATTGGGCTCTGCACTGACAGTACTGACTCTGCTTAGGATTCTCTCTCTCCTCCTCTCCCTCTCTCTCCCCCTCTCCCTCTCTCTTCCCCTCTCCCTCTCTCTCCCCCTCTCCCTGTCTCTCCCCCTCTCCCCCTCTCTCTCCCTCTCCCCATATCTTAAAATAAATAAATAAATAAATAAACTTAAACAAAAAAGATGTGTTGCCCTATTTAAGTATATGAAGAATACAGTTTCTTCGGTTTATAATTCCTAGATGAGATTAAATTCTTATTCCAAAGGGGAGTACACAGGTTTCTGCAAGCCTCTGGTCACAAAGTTTTCACTAACCTATCAATAAAGAATATTGTTCTGTGTATGTTTATGTTTAAAAACACCATACTTAATATGTATGTGTATATATATATATATATATATATATATAACATGTAATATATATTATGTATAATATATATATTATGTATAATATATATTATGTAATATATACATTACATAATATATATATTATTTTAAATAGTACAATCACTAACAAAATGCACAAATATATGGAAAACATAGTACTAAATAGACTGCAAAAAGAACACTAGTTTACAGTGTGAAAACTAAAATAAGAAGACAGTGTTACCTTGTCTGACCTCAGCTGGGAACGTGTATATTGCGTGACTCAAATGTTCAGCTGCTCTGTGCATGTCCACAAATGACTATGATAGCACTGTGAGTATTGATTGGGGGATAAAAATAAATTTTAGTAGGTGAATTCGCACATAATGAAGACTGTATATTCTTCACCATTCTGAAGATCTTGCTCCATTTTCTTCTAGACTCTACTATGACAAATCATCTGTCATTTTAGGTAATCTGTCTTTTTTATCTTGTTGCTTTTAGAATTTTCCCCCTACCCTTGATGTTCTGAAGTTTCACTATAATGTAAATTAAATTGTATATCTTTCTCTAATTCTGGAAAAACATTTATTTCGCTATCATCTCTTCAAATATTACTTCTCTGTCATTTCTCCACTATTTCTGGGTCTCCTAATATACATATTTTGTAACTTCTCAATATAACATTATATATCTTAACTCATTTCATATATTTCATCTCATCATATCATTTAATTATGTGCTAAATGAAATCTTCAGCACTATCTTTCAATTCTTAAGATATATCTATAACTATATCCACAATTCCATGAGTTTTATTTTATGACCTCTTATTTTGGATTCACATTTGCCAGTTTTGGTTTTATTATTTTCTTTTAGTATTCCTTTCCTTTTGTTGTTTATTTATTTTGAGAGAGAGAGAGTGCAAGTGCACAGGGGGAGGTGCAGAGAGGGAGGGAAGGAGAGAATCCCAAGCAGGTTCTGCACTTTCAACACGGAGCCCAATGCAAGGCTTGAACTCATGTGCCATGAGATTATGACCTAAGCCAAAATCAAGAGTTAGATGCTTAACTGACTGAGCCACCTTGTTCAGGTGCCCCTTGAACATACTTATTTAAAAGCCATTTTTAACTAGTGAATTATGGAACTATACTCATCATGTTCATTGCTAAAATTTTTAGCTCTTTTCCCTACCATTGACTCTCTTCTATGTGCTTTAGAATTTTAGTTGACAACTTTAATTTACATGAAAGCATTTTACTTTCTCTGCTATCTCTCTGAACTCATTCATCTCCATATACCAGTTTTGCAGTCACCTGCACCTAGATTCTCCAGAACAAGTGTTGCACTAGGACACATGCATTCCTGGAATGGAACTATCATAGACACAGTCTCTGAACAAGGAGGTGGCTTGGCCTAGTTCTGACTCCTCCTCACCATCTGAGGTATGTAAATTAGAACAAGCAGCTTGAGTCAGCCTCCTTTCAAAGGTGGGAAAATTTGTTCCTGGCCCCTGGTTTCTGGCCATGAGTTTGGCCTTGAGACCCTACTGTTATGGGTTGAGTTGTGTCTCCCTAAAATTTATATGTTGAAGTCCTAACCCTCAGTACCACAGAATGTGATCTTATTCAGAAATAGGGTCACTGCAGGTGTAATTAGTCAAACTAAGATGAGGTCATATTGAAGTAGGGTATACATCTAATCCAATATGATGGGTATCTTTACAAAAAGAGTGCCATGGGAACTAATCTTTGACAAAGCAGGAAAGAATACCCAATGGAATAAAGACAGTCTCTTCAGCACGTGGTGCTGGGAAAACTGGACAGCGACATGCAGAAGAATGAACCTGGACCACTTTCTTACACCATACACAAAAACAGACTCACAATGGATGAAAGACTTCAATGTAAGACAGGAAGCCATCAAAATCCTCAAAGAGAAAGCAGGCAAAAACCTCTTTGATCTTGCCCTCAGCAATTTCTTACTCAACATGTCTCCGGAGGCAAGGGAAACAAAAGCAAAAATGAACTACTGGGACCTCATGAAAATAAAAAGCTTCTGCACAGCGAAGGAAACAATCAGCAAAACTAAAAGGCAACCGACAGAATGGGAGAAGGTATTTGCAAATGACGTATCAGATAAAGGGTTAGTATCCAAAATCTACAAAGAACTTATCAAACTCAGCACCCAAAAAACAATAATCCAGTGAAGAAATGGGAAAAAGACATGAATAGACATTTCTCCAAATAAGACATCCAGATGGCCAACCGACACATGAAAAAATGCTCAACATCACTCATCATCAGGGAAATACAAATCAAAATCACAATGAGATACCACCGTATATACCTGTCAGAATGGCTAACATGAACAACTTAGGCAACAACAGATGTTGGCGAGGATGCAGAGAAAGAGGATCTCTTTTGCATTGTTGGTGGGAATGCAAGCTGGTGCAGCCACTCTGGAAAACAGTATGGAGGTTTCCCAAAAAACTAAAAACAGAACTACCCTAGACCCAGCAATTGCACTACTACGAAGGGACACATGCACCCACATGTTTATAGCAGCACTATCAACAATAGCCAAAGTATGGAAAGAGCCTAAATGTCCATCGAAGGATGAATGGATAAAGAAGATGTGGTATACATTTATATACAATGCAGTATGACTCGGCAATCAAAAAGAATGAAATCTTGCCATTTGCAACTACATGGATGGAACTGAAGGGTATCATGCTAAGTGAAATTAGTTAGTCAGACAAAGACAAAAATCATATGACTTCACTCATGTGAGGACTTTATGAGACAAAACAGATAAACATAAGGGAAGGGAAACAAAAATAATATAAAAACAGGGAGGGGGACAAAACAAAAGAGACTCCTAAATATGGAGAACAAACAGAGGGCTGTTGGAGGGATTGTGGGAGGGGGGATGGGCTAAATGGGTAAGGGGCACTAAGG